ATATATATATATATATATTTAACAAACAACAAAGTCTTGCTTTTCTACTAATTATGCAAAATGATTACAATTCAATGTATACTTATATTTAATTATTAAGATATTTTAGAGAATTGCAAAACTGTTGATAATTTCCTCTAAATACCATTGAAAAATTGTCTGCGAAAGAATTCGTTATGAAAGAAATTTATCAGTCGAGTTTTATCAAATCACGATCGGAACACCATCGTAACCCTCGCGTCGGACGTTTGTATCGATTCCATCGACGATAGTCCGCCGATTGTCTGATTATGTTCGCCCGACGTTCGTGTAGCGCGACATAATGAAAACGCGTCAACGCACGAAGGTTTGTTTTCCGATTTAATAGCCGATTATCGGTCGACAATCGCGACGTGATTGATTATCACGCCGTTTCCATTTAGCCGCGCGCGCGCCCTGCTGTGTTCTTCGATTTAATTAAAAACTCATCCGAGTGATCCGTGTCTCGCCAGCCGCAGGGCTCTCTGCGGTCACGTGCACCGGAAGCGGAAAATAAACGTTCGCGGGAAATCAGCGGAAATCGAGAAATATCTCACCTGCAACCTGTAGTTGGGATCCTGCGTCGCTGCGTGAGCCGCGAGGAAGGGGTCGTAGTAAACACTGGAAAAAATAAAAAAAATCATGAATGAGTATAAACGGCTTATCCGTTTTATTTATCATTGTACCCGCCGAGGATTACCGAATTTCTGATTTAATGATTCTCTTTGTGAGATGTAATCAATATGTTACAATCGCGCGTCCAATTATTTCCATTTAAAAAGACCCAATAGCCCCCATTAATGTATCTCCTTTGAAAAAAATAATGTATTTTGCAAATTCAGCAATTCCCCATATTTTCCACGTAAAATATTTATAAAGATTTCAATATTAAATACGATGGGGACGTGTCCGGTTAAAAGCCGTCACTTCAAAGAACTTTTTTAATCTTTCTATTTAATAATGCACCGCGCTCGTTTAATAGACGTATCGCGTATTAAACATTGCGTTCGATCAAGAATAAAATTGAAAATTTATTTCCGGGATAATCTCGTTTTTTTGTTCGGGATAATGGAGGACGATAGAGGCGATAAACTTTTTGTCCTCTCTATCCGTGATTACGCGAATGAAGTTTGTTTTATGCGCGAAGATCATAAATTACATCGAGGAAAAAGTTGCTTTATATTGCATCTGCACAGAAGCATTCGTAATGGAATTAATTTTATGAGTAGCTCGCTCCCATTATTATCCTCCTCGTTGGAGGAGATAGTTGTTAAAAGTTTATTTAACTTGAATAAGTTATAATCTGGTTTTAAAAGACATGGAAAAAAGAAAAGCTTGTTAATTTTATGTGAATGCGAATTCGCGCTCTCCGTTTTGATTACACATTGTCAGGAATGAAAAAAATCTGTGAAACGAGGTACTTATTTAACACGCGATTCACATACGAGATATTTCGTAAAATGCGAGTGTAATTTTTTAAGAGTGAATTCAACATCGCCGGTAATGATGAAAAAAATGTACAGAAACGTCTGCTTCGATTTTATTGAGTGTTCTTTGTAGTCCAATTCTATATTTATGAAATATGTATATATCTGGCAAATGTTTATTCAGATAAAGTTTCACGTTCTTTTTTTATTACATTTAATAAACATACATGCCATATCCATGTTTACAACTTTTCATAAATTAAAACCAATTCATAAGTTAAAACCATTAATTAGTATTTTACACACATCGGTATTGCACAGAAAGAGCAATTTTGCTAAAGAATCTAAAAATTCAATCAGATATAGAGATCTGAAAAATAATTTTAGAGAGCAGAACAATTATGTAGGGCGTTCAAATTGCTAGAATATAAAAAAATGTTGCACTCTTGTCATCATGTTTAAACGTCTTACATAATAATTTTAACAATTCGACGTTCAACAAAATTATTTTTTAGATCTTTATCTACTCAAATGTTAGATCCTTCAGCACAACTGTTCTTTCCGTGTGATTGTTATTATAGATATAAATTATCATAAAATTATATATATTCTATCGATTAATTTCGTGGGAATGAATAAATTTTCCAAAATATCGAATTGAAGTTGAAATACAAGTTGAATACAAGTTGAACAACTAGATTTAGTTCGTATAGTGAGTTTTATGCTAAAAATAACTGGGACACAGATTGCAAAACAAATCAATCGAAAATAAACCAAATATATTTATGCATATTATTCCTTCTAATTGTTTTCGTTATGCAAAATTCACTCTTAAAATTATACAAATCTTTTACAAAGCGTTTTATATTTATTGCCGAAAGACCTGTTAATGCCCTGTGATGTGCGTGAATTCAAGATAAAATACGTCATTTCCTTTTCTATAATCCACCCCGCGTTAATAATTTGCGTTTACAAATGAAACGACACGGGCGTTAAATTAAAATGCATAACATACATGTATATATGTAGATATTGGGTTTGACAAATCCGATTTCGCGGCCGGAGCGTGCATCGATGTAACAGGCTTCGAAGATTGATTTTCGTCCGTATTCAAATTTTTCATTCCTGCCAACGCCATGTCCAATTCCGTAACGTTAAAATGAACGAACGATTGACGGTTCGACGCGAATGCTTGCTCCTAAAAATCCAGCATGATAAAAAGTTGAAAAAAAAAAAAAAGATAGAAAAAAAATGGATAAAGTGTCATATCTTACGATTTTTT